TACTCAGAAGCATCCCCCATAAGATTTTAACAAAAAATAAGAATGGAGTCAACAGTTCTAATAGAATAGTGAATCCTGGGGCCATAACGGTGCTGGTGGCAGGTTTTATATAGCATCAAATGTGTCTGCAAGAGCTTCAAGGCTTAATGATATTCAAAGGAAACATAAAACCCCTTCAGCCACCAGAGGAGCAATGGCACAGGAATTAATAAAAAGAGAGAAACACCACATGGGAGAAATGACTCGGTGATTGAGCATGAATGCTCTTGCACGGGACCCACGTTCAGTTCCCTGCTCCACACCGGCTAGCTCACCCTTGCCTGAAACTCCAGCCTCAGAGGACCCCACGCTCTCTCCTGGACTCTTGAGCAAGCACACTCATGTGCATATACTCACACATATACAAACAAAGACTGACCACAGGCTCTCCTTCTCCCCACATCCATTCGAAACAGTCTTTATTTCCCACATTGTAAGTTTATAGGTCATCCTACTAAAAGTGCTGGGAAGGAATCTCCCATTCAGAGGCAGTTTATCTTAAGACGCTGCCCATGATATTAGTGTGCTATACTAACACTATATAGCAAATAAAACAGAACAAAGAACAAAGGTAGCGATAATCTGTGGGTGAGGGAAGCAGTGTGGTCAACAAAGAAAGATAAACAAGAAAGTTTGAAAGTGATACTGATAACTCTAAAAAAATTTCTTTATAGTTATTTGGAATTTTTTTTGTGGGGATAGTGCACATAACCCATAAGGTACGTGTATACAGGTCAGAAAACAACCTATCTCCTTCTACCATGTGGGTTCCAGGGAGCAAACTTAGGTAACCAAGCTTAGATCAAGCACCCTGGCCTGCGGGGCCATCTTCCTGGCCTGTTTTTTTGTTTTTGGTTTTTTTTTTGGGGGGGGGGCTGGGGTTTTTTTTTGTTTTTTGTTTTTTGTTTTTTTTTTTTTGGTTTTTTGAGACAGGGTTTCTCTGTAGCTTTGGAGCCTGTCCTGGAGCTAGCTCTTATAGACCAGGCTGACCTCGAACTCACAGTGACCCCCTGGCCTGGTTTCTTAATCTAGCAGGTGAGTGTGTTTATCTCTAAACAATATTTTATGTGTTCCTTGGTGATATAAAATCCATAAAATTTAGCTGGGCATTGTAGTGCACACCTTTAATCTCAGTATTCAGGAGTCAGAGGCAGGTGGGTCTCTGTGAGTTCAAGGCCAGCCTGGTCTACAGAATGAGTTTCAGGACAGCCACAGCTACCAAGAAACCTTGTCTCAAACAAGCAAACACCTCACAAACATGTAAGAAACGACTACTAAGTAGCTCACGGGTTCTAGGGAGACTGGAGACCCAGCGTCTGGGAGACTGGAGACCCAGCATCTGGTCTTACACCGCACAGAAGGTCTACAGACTGACAGACACTGAGATGCAGTTGTGCCACTACCCCGTACACCAGGCATCTTGAGTTTCTGAAATCATGGTGCCTGTGCCACGCTCCTCTACAGGTAGGCAATGGGATTTTATGTTTTTACCCCTATTTTATTTCTACTTTTTCAAATCTTTTTCTTTGACAGAGTCTCTGGCCCAGACTGGTTATTACCTCCCTATGTAGCCAAGGGTGAGCTGCACATCTGCTGCCCCTGCCTCCACCTCTGCAGCGCTGGGACTACAGTGTGGACCACGCGGCCATCTTTCTGATCCAGCCCAGGACTTCATATGCACAGGCAAGGACTCTACCTCCCATGTCCTCCACGTCTTTGAAACTTGCTTACCAACTGCTCTTGGTTTTTGTAGGACTTGAGTCTACCACACACATTACACATATTTCCTCATTTGTGATTAGGGTTCGCAGTGCTTTTAGAAAAGCTATTTTAAAAACTTTGAACTGCCAATTTTTTCTTTATGTATTTTCTCAACTCAGATCTTCTTTTCTCGACCCAGGATTTCAAAATAGTCCTCTTCCTTCCCCACAGTGAAGTTCTGTTTTCCTGTTTAATTGTCAGTCCTAAGGATCTGATGGAATTTTCCTCTAGCTATCTTAGAAGAAGCATTTATTGTATAATTAGTTACCCAGATTCAAAATGCTGCTTTTTACAAACAAAAACAGTTACATAGCCTGACTGTTCGTGCGCCGACACACTTTAGTCTCTGGCACTAAAGTCCTCTTCCCTTCACCCCTCTCAAACATTCTCTAAACAGATCTTCCATACATAACAGGCAAGATTATCATATTTACAGATTAAATTTTCTTGTAGTTCTGAGAAAAAAAATCATCCTTATCAGTACTGTAGGAGAAACAGAAGTGCCTGACTGAGGTCCCGAGAGGAATATACACCATCTATGGACAGACAATGACTCTTCCTTCACATTTCACGGCCCTGTCAGCAGCACTGACCGCCTGTATGGACGCCAACAAACTGGGAAAGGCACAGGGGAGCAGAGAACAATATCCTAGCATGACCTACACTGGCCTTGTGAGACCAGCTTCAGTTCCATGGCTCTTCATTACTCAAGCAAGAAGCACCTCAGACAGCTATCTGCGCTTCCAGGTCATGCATCTGTCAGCTTCCACACAGGCACTGCTCCCATTAATGAGGAAAACTGACACCGCCAACCATGCGCCTAACCACCGACTGCCACTGCCGGGATCCCTCCAGCTGCCAGGACCTTTCAGCCATCTCCTGCTCCAAAGACCCTTCTAGGACAGTTGTTGGAAGAATCCTGCATTTTCTGGAGATAAAGGCATGCTGGGGTTTTTTGGGTTTTTTTTTTTTTTTTTTTTTGCTTCCTACTTTTATTCCCCTCCCAGTTACACCTGAGGCGTTACCGCACTGCTGACTCCCCCCTCCCGCTTACACCTGAGACAATCCCCCCCCACTTATGCCTGAGGCATTACCGCACTGCTGATGACTCCTGGGGTTTAGAAAGGAATAGACCCAGTATTTAAATCTGTGTTGTATTTTTCAGGGTTGTGTGTGTAGTGCCTCTGCTCTTTGGAATATTCTGGAGAACTGGACTCTCACTGATTACAATTTTCAAGAGTAAAATAAAAATTTTAAAACATTCCAACATTTCCTTTATGGCACCAAAGAATTCTGCACTGGTCTGTTTCATTTATGGAGTTAAGGTGAATCCATACAAAGATGAGATATTTGAAGATTGCTATTATTTTTGAGACAAGGTCTTGTAGTCCAGGCTACCCTTGAACTCACAATCTAGCAGAGAAGGCCCTTCAGCTCCTGCTTCTGCCTCCCAACTTCAGGTCTTACAGGTATGCTGCTACACAACCTGGCTGGCAAGATTATTATTTTAATTTTTTCCATTTACCTTACACCATTATCAAGACAACCCGATAATAACACAGCATATAAAATTTAGTAAGTCTGTATCTCCAAGTGGTAGATCTTAAAAACATTATTTAAAAACTTCATGTGCACACAGCCATCATTTGTATATGTAATATGTGCAGATAGCCATTATTATGTATTATGTATAAACTAGTTTTTCACAAAAAAACAAGTTTGCAGCCAGGCCAGGAAAGGACCACTAGTAATCCCAACACTCAGGAGGTGGAAGGTAAAGGATCAGAGCTCCACGGTGGTACCTGAGACCAGTTTCAAAACAAAACAAAACAAACAAACAAACAAAAACAGATAAAGCCAAAAACAAGGGGAGAGCTAGTTGTGGTCACTCCTGCCTGTAAGTTTGCACACTGGGAGGCAAAAACAGGAAGCTAGCCCTAACTCTGGAGCCAACCTGGGCTACCGAGAAATTCTAGGCCAGCCTGTGTGAGCTGCAGTGTGAGATCGTCTCAGCTAATTAAATTAATAAAATAAGGCTCCAGAAAGCAGTCCCTGGTATCATATGACTATCAAAGGGTCAATGCCTTTCTTTATAAAATGGAGACTTGGGGCTGGGGAGATGGCTCGGTGGTTAAAAGCACTGGCTACTCTTGCAGAGATCTTGGATTAGATTCCCAACACCCACATGGTGGCTCATGGTTATCTGTAATGCCAGTCCCGGGTATCCAACACCCTGTACTGACCTACACGAGCAGCAAGCATACACAAGACGCAAAGACATACATACAGGCAAAACATTCACGTACATAAAATAAATCTAAAAATATTAAAATAAAATGGAGACTTGTCGGCTAGACGGGGTCACCTTACAGATTAGACAGTAACCTATGATCCTATTGGTTAAAATTGAGAGTTCCTAGGGACATGCCAGATATAGTGGGCTCTTAAAAACTAACTCTGATTTTTTTTTTTCTGATACTGCACTACATTAGGAATAAACACACAAAACAACAACAAAAATCCACTTGGACCTGAGAATTCTTAACACACACATTATGTACTTTATTTCATTGTGAGTCACTCGGGTTACAGATCTGTCATATAAAGGTATAGGGAAGTCACAAGATGTAGCTTCTATTTGCGGTAGGGCTTCCGTGGGGCTTATTTTCTAATCCGTAAACGAACGGGGTTGGCGTGTATACCTGAATTATTTTTCCGACTCGACAATCCTTGCTATCACCCTCCGATCATAGAAACAAAACAAACTCACATTCCAACCGCCATGGTAATACGAATTTTCAACCATAGAACTCTGTGGTGCAGTGTTGCGAATACAAATCTATTTTTGGGACTCCAAAAGTACTTAATTAGCAAAGAAATGCCACTAAAAATAGCTGATACATTTAACTGCTTGGTGACTTGGGTATTTTGAGTCGCACCGTGGCAATAAAGACAGTATAACACAGCACAGGGTCCTGGGGTCCTCTCCAGTCATGCGCCACCGAGGCTGGAGGAGGCACGCACCCTGGGAACCCGGTTGGGTGGTTTGGGGAGCCGGGGCGACTACGGGCGGCCCGCGGCGATTGGAGTGCGCTGCGCAGGCAAGCCTCCTGGAAGCCGCTGGGGGTGCCGCGGTGCCAGCAGTCATCCCCCGGCCGCCGCTCCCGCGCCGCCCCGGCGCGCCCGCCCCTTCCCCTTACCACGTAGCCCCCCCACACGTAGAGGAAGTGTCCGTCCACCACGGCGCAGTGGCCGCTGCGCTCCTCGGCCACGCAGAACGCCTGCGAGTCCGCCATCCGCCCTCCGCGGCCCAACCAGCTCGGCGCCGGCTCGCACGCACGAACGGAACGCGAGGAGGGTCCAGATTGGCGGAGGCGGAACCGGGAAAGCTGCGCGGCTGCGCGGCCGCCGGGTGTGGAGGGGGGCTCGGGGATGGGGGCAGGATGCTCCCCAGAACGCTCCTTAGACACATCCCGCTCCTCTGCCTGAGCCTCCCTGCAGCCATTGTCTGGATTTCTTAGGTCTTTAGTCATCTGGAACCGTTTCTTCACTTCCTTCTCGTGACGTTCATTTATTTTTTAAAATTATTTTATGTGTATGCCTGTGGATCATGTACATTGTATGGGCCTAGAGTCGGTGTGAACCTCCATGTGGATGCTGGGAATCCAACTTGGGTCCTCTCAAGCCCTCGCTCTCCAGTTCCATGATGTTCATTTGTGAAGTGAGCTTGCTTATTTTCCTGCTTTTGGGCCACGTGCTGGGATTATGAACCTCACCTGGGCCAGCTCATTGACATTCATCCTCTCGACTTTTTTGTAGTTCTGGCAGTGCTCCGCCAGTTCCCCTGCCTCAGCCTCCCGCGTGCTCATATTACCACGTTCGGCTATATTTTTAGGTTGGAAATCACATCTGAGGGGTTTGGTTTTGTAGTGTCTGGGTGCTTATGTCCCCCCCACCCTTTTTCCTTCACGTGTACTTACTCTCGTGCTAATCACAGTAGAAGGCATTGGCGCCTGAGGTACCGGGTGATACTTTCTAGTGTTTCTTCACGGTAATGTGTGTGAACACAGGCACAATTCCCCTTAACCCAGAAGAGAGCATTATTGTCTGCCCGACTCTGTATCTTGCTTTCCCCACTTGCATCAACTTTTTCTGGTGAGAGGAACAAACTTCTATTCAACAGACCGAGGAAACAATTCCGACCAAGTCTCGGTTGATGAACTAATGAGTTTAATAACACAAGAGCATGGCCTGTGCCACTGAATAAAAAAAATGTCTCTGCCTAGCAACTGTTAACTGCCTCCAAAAGCTGGAGGATGGGAGCTCGTGAACCTTACTTCCCTCGCATCTGTCAACTGTCTATAAATCCACTGGTGGCAGGGAGCCCCTCCCCCATCCCATAATCAGTGCTGATCGCTTTCTACAACGTTTCACCTCTTACCATCCTTCCGCCTCCCTCTTCCAGGGTGTCCCCTGAGGCTTGGATATAGGATGTATAGATGTACCATTCGGGCTGGGCATTCAGGAACACGTCTACCGGTTGAGTCTCTGCAGTAACAGAAACTTCGTTGACCAAAGATGACAGCTGTACTGATGGCTGGGCAGAAACCCAGATATTTAGAAGGCAATTAGACAGATACATATCACTTAGCAACCTTCCAGAAAGTCAATGGTTTCCCCAGCCATGGGCTTTTGACCGGGTTTACAGAATCAGGTCCATGAATCCAATCAGAAAATAGCTGGTTGTACCGGTAACAGTTTCACCATCAGGCCTGATGTGTTGATACTGTAGCCTCCAGGATCCTCAGCCAAGTGGGACCGTTGGTTACAATTTTCCCCTAAGCAGCCCAATTAGTGCCTTCTAGAACTATGAAAGCTAGCCTGGCGGGAGGACTAGTTCAGTCCGATATCGATTTTTCTGTGTCCTTTCACCAAAGCATGTGGTATATGATGTCTTTGGCAGCTACCTGCATTAGGGCTCTCTAGAGTAACAGAAATTATGGAATGAATCTCTATATAGCTAGGGGATTTATTAAAATGATTTAAGACTAATCCAGCAATGGCTGGCTATGAACCAGAAGTCCAAGAACCCAGCAGGTGCTCAGTCCACAAGGTTGGCTGTCTCCGCTGGTCTTCTGGAGGCGCTGGGATCCTGAAGAAGTAGGCTCCAATGTCAGTGAAGGGATGGATCTGTTGACAAGGAAAGGGCAAGCAGGCAAAAAGCAAAAGCTCCCTTCTTCCATGTTCATTTACTGCAGGTTTCCCGCAGAAGGTGTGGCCCACATGCCTTGGAATGGGACTGAACTGGCCCTTCCTCCCTCCTGGTTAGCTTTCATAGTTCTGGAAGGCACTAATCGGTGTGTCTTCCTACCTCAAGATCTGGATTAAAAGTGAATGTCTTCCCGCCTCAAAATCCACCTGAGAAGTGGATCTACCAAGTCTGGCTATGGTGGCACATGCCTTTAATCCCAACACTCTGGAGTCAGAGGCAGGCAGATCTGAGTACAAAGCCATCTGGTCTACAGAATGAGTTCCTGGACAGCCAGGGCTACACAGAGAAACCCTGTATTAGAAGAAAAAGAAAGTGGATCTACCAATGTCAAATTAAGTAAAAATCCCTCACAGGTGTGCCCTCCACTTTTGGATTTTTAGTTAATTCCAGATGTAGTCCAGTAGACAACCAAGAATAGTCATCACAGCCCACCCCTTGCCAACTTGACACACAATCCTCTCCTTATATCATGATTAATTTCCAAATGAAAACAATAACCAGGTCATAACGCCTAAATGTAACTATCCCACATAAATCATAAACACATTATCTTTTTAACCATGATTATACCTAACATATATAGTTATCCCTTAGGCAACCACAAATGCATTATAAATTTAGAATAGGTGGCAATGTCCCTTGAGAGACTTTATTTTAATAGCACAAACTTGAATATCATAACCAATGATAGTCTCTTAATTTACATTATATCACATGATAAAGAAATTGAAGAAAGAAAACACAAATATCTGTACAAATGCATTCTTACCAAAATACAGCAGAAACATTCATGTTAAGTAATCTTTCTTTCTGCAGCTGGTCACGTGGCCTTAGCTGGTAGTTAGAACTACCTTTCTCTACTACCCATTCTGTATCTCCTCCATCCTTGGCAAGAACCTCAGCAGGTCTCAGCTCTTTTCCTGGAGGAGTGACCCATACCTTCATTCCACACATGTCTGTGCCCTTCGTCATCCTGCCTGCATTAGGCTGTTTTAGTTTCTCATTAACTTTAATCACAGGACACGGTAGCACCAAGAGATGCCTTAAAGGATCTTCTGCACTCCAGGCATAATCTTTTTTACCTGCATTGTGGAGAAGTAATCCAATTTCCTCATGGTAATCTGTATCAATCGCTCCTCTTGACACTCTTATTCCCTTCTTAGACTGCTGGTTTAAGAGCATTGGAAACTCAAAGTGGCCAGAGAGAAGTCTGAGCTTCCAGTTCAGTGGAATGTTTGTTGTGGCTCCTGGCAGGAGTTCTTCCTCCTCCGAAACCAAAACTCTTAAGTCAATAAAACTTAAGGTTGCAGAAACAGGAAGCAAAAGTTTTTCTAGGGGGTCACTGGGAGTGTCAGTGAGTGGAACTATTCCCCTGTGATTTCTGGACCCATGGATCCTGGCTATGGGAGAAACTCTAGCATATACTGGACTCTGATTCAAAGTCTGTACTGCCATCTAGAGAATCTTACCCCAGTCTTCCATGCTGCCGCCGTCTAATTGGTTCTGTAACTGTGCCATCCCATCTTTCTCTCAGGCCAGCTGCTTTAGGATGGTAGGGGACATGGTACGACCAGTGAATCCCGTGACTGTGGGCCCACTGTTACATTTCTGTGGCTGTGAAGTCACTTCCTTGGATAGAAGCAGTACTGTGTGGAATACTGCCTGTGAATAAGGCATACAGTAAGTCCAAGGATGGTGGGTTTTGGCAGAAGCATTATGTGCAGGAAAGGCAAATCTATAACCAGAATCAATATCTACTCCAGTAAGGAAAAAGCATTGCTCTTTCCATGGAAGAAGTGGCTGTTGACTGGTCACCCTGAGGAATGGCCCCGTATCTAAGGCTCAGTGTTGGTCTCTGCTGTTGGTAAATCTAGCACCCAGAAGGAGCTGTAGCCAGGTCAGCCTTGGTGAGTGGAAGTCTATGTTTCTGAGCCCATCTCTGCCAAGATGGCCCCTTTGTTCATGGGCCCAATGGGCAGTGATGGGCTTGCTGGGGAAAGAGACCGACTGTCCACAGAGTGGGCCATCCACTATTGGCCTCTCTACTGCAGTCACCTTTTGATGAGCGTTTACACGGCACGCAAGCATCTTCACATCCTTCACCCATCTGGAGAGATCTATCCACACATTTCTTCCCCAGATGTCTTTCTCACCAATTTTCCAATTACGATCTTTTCCAAGTCGCTGACTATCCAGCTAATCCATTGGTTACAGCCCATGAATCAGCGAACAATTGCACATATGGCCACTTCTCCTCCTGAACAAACTGTAATACCATGTGCACTGCCTGAAGTTCTGTGCATCGTGAAGATTTTCCTACACTGGTGTCTTCAGGGTTGTCCCAGGAAAGGGCCGTAATATTGCAGTTGTCCACCTCTGGGTGCTGCCTGCATAATGGGTAGAACCATCAGTAAGCCAGGCCCTAGACTTCTCTTCCTCAATCAGTTGCTCCTAGGGAATAGCCCGTGGGGCTATAGGTGTATCCCAGACAGCAGAAGGCATTGTAATGGGAGACATTGGGGCAACTTTTTCATGCTTGTGCCTTCAGGACCTGCTCCTGTATATAACCGCCTGATCCTGCACGATTTCATATGTACCACTTCCATCTGATAATAGACAGCTGCTATGCATGTCCTACTTTATGACTTGGCGAACTGATAACACCTAGGTTATCATGAAGGGCTCGGTGCACACGGCAGCTTGGTGGACTACTGTCAAACTTCAGTTTCCACTGAAGCCCAATAGCAGGCCCAGAGCTGTCGTTCAAAGGGAGAAAGTCTAAAGATGATGAAAGAACCTTGCTCTGAAATTCCAAAGGTCTCCTCTGTGACTCACCTACGGGGAGGGGCCTGATAAAGGCTCCAAATGACAAAGAGCAAAAGCCTCCTTCTTCCTTGTCCTCTTATAGGCTTCCAGCAGAAGGTGTGGCCAGATTAAACATGTGCCAGCTTGACTCAAAATCCAGTTTAGAAGTGGATCTACCTACTTCAAACTGAGATTAAAAAAAAAAAAAGTCCCTCACAGGTGTCCTCCATTTTTGGATTTTAGTTAATCTCAGACGTGGTCACATTGACAACCAAGTATAGTCATCAAACTATCTAATTATAGTGAGCAATCAATAGCAGTGGCCACAGTCTGTATTGTTTGGGGGACTTCAGGTTCCTCCTTGGCAAACAGCTCATAAGGTGGTAAGCCAGGACCAACACTGCTTTTTCCTTTGTTTATTATCTACGACTTGTGAGAGTGCCCTACTCTTGCAGGGTATCTCAATCAATTTTTTGTCTTAGCAACACATTTTTATTTTCAATATACCCAGGCCCTGTAGGGCTGTAAGGTATGTGGAAGTACCATTGGAGCTGGTTGTCCCCAGGCCAGTTCTGCACACCAGTATTTGTGAAATGAGTGCCCCTGTCACTGTCAATTCTCTGGAGTGTTGTAGGAGGCTGTTAGTTCATTCCCGGCTGCTCAGCCCCAAAATAATCACACAGAAACCATATTATTTGCAATACTGTTTGGCCAGTCACTTAAGTGTATTGCTAGCTAGTTTTTATATCTTTGGTTAACCCATTTCTATTATTTTATATTTTACCATGAGGTTCGTGGCCTACTGGCAAGGTTCCATCCAACAGCGCATTTTTCTCCCCTGGTTGATCTATGGCTGCTTCTTGACTTAGCTTTATTTCTCCCAGCATTCAGTTTACTTTTCCCCACCTAGCTCTACTCTGCCCTATCACATGCTAAGGAAGCTTCTTCATTCATTAACAAATAAAGCAACACATATACAGAAGGACCTCCCACACCATTTCCCCTTTTTTGTTTAAATAAAAAAGGAAAGTTTTTGTGGCTGAAGAGATAGCTTAGGGGTTAAGAGCACTGACTGCTCTTTCAGAAGTCCTGAGTTCAAATACCAGCAACTACATGTTGGTTCACAAACATCTGGGGCTCACAACTATCTGTAATGAGATCTGGTACCCTCTTATAGCACACAGTACATACTGTACATACAATAAATAAATCTAAAAAAAGGGAAGTTTTAACTTTAACATAGTAAAATTACATATAACAAAACATGTATTGAGCAAGAATTACAGTTACAATATATGCTCAATTGTGCTACAAGGACATATGCTCAGCTATGTTCATAGCAGCATTGTTTGTCATAACCAGACCCTCGATCAAAGAATGGATAAGAAAAATGTGGTACATTTACACATTGGAGTACTACACAGTAGAAAAAAATAATGACATCTTGAAATTTGCAGGCAAATGAATGGAGCTAGAAAACATCATATTGAGTGAGGTAACCCAGACCCAGAAAGACAATTATCACATGTACTCACTCATAAGTGGCTTTTCAACATAAAGCAAAGAAAACCAGCCTACAAATCACAATCCCAGAAAACCTAGACAACACTGAGAACCGTAAGAGATACATGGATCTAACCTACATGGGAAGTAGAAAAAGTCAAGAATTCCTGAGTAAATTGGGAGCATGGGGACCATGTGAGAGAGGGTTGAAGGGGAGGGGAGAGGCAGGGACGGGAGCAGAGAAAAATATAGAGCTCAATAAAAACCAACAAAAAAAAATCATTTTCAGCTGAGTGGTGGTGGCACATGCCTTTAATTCCAGCACTCAGGAGGCATGGGCAGGCACTTCTCTGTGAGTTCAAGGCCAGAGTGATCTACAAGAGTTAGTTGCAAGACAGACTTCAAAGCTACAGAGAAACCCTGTCTCGAAAAACCAAAAAAGAAAGAAAGAAAAATCATTTTCATGTTTTGTTTTTCGAAACAGGCTTTTTCTGTGTAGTTTTGGAGCCTGTAATAGAATTTACTATGTAGAGCAAGCTGGCTTCGAACTCACAGAGATCTGCCTGCCTCTGCCTCCCGAGGTCTGGGATGAAAGGTGTGTGCCACCCCCTCCCACCTCATTTTCATGTTTTTTTGCTTACTTGTCTCCCTCCCACTAAGTCTCACGTATCCCAGGCTTGCCTTGAACTTGCTATGACATCGAAGTTGGCCTTTAACTCCTGATCCTTGCATCTCCCCCATCTTAGTGCTGGGATTACAGACCTGTGATATCATGCCCAGCGCTTCCTTGTGTCCCATAAAGTTGCAGGCTCACTTCTAAGCACTCCATGTTTTTTTTTTCAGCTCACCAGAGAAAACATTTTATTATTTATGTTTTTATTTTTATTTAAGGTCTCACTGTGTACCACTGACTGGTCTGGATCTCACTATGTAGAACAAGTTGTCCTGGAACTCACAAGAGATTTGCCTGCTTCTGCCCTCTGAGTCCTGGCATTAAAGGCATGTGCTGCCACACTCAGCAAGATCTAACATTTTAAAATGTGGCCTACCGAATGTACCTTCCTTCATCTCAAGTAAGTCATTTGTAATTGTTTGTTTCTCCATATGTTAAAAAAAAGGCTGCAGTGGAAGAAGTGGGATATTGCTAATTAATGTGTGAAACACATCAATTAATACATTTATATTGCTAATGACAGCGCATTGTGAAGAGGCCCTCCGCTAAAATGCTGGTTGGATGGGAGTGATGGAGAAAGTACCTGCTGGAGGAAATAGTGAAGACACAATATTTCCCAGGGTTTGTGTAGAACCTGTAAACAGGGCGGTCTTTCACCTTTCCTAACCTTGGAAGGAAAGATCTTGGGTGCGGGAAGCTTAGCTAGAGTCAGAGAGAAGCCCGAATGTGAGAGCGCCGAGTGTTCAGAAATGCACTTGGGCTAAAGGAAGCTTGTTCCCACTTGATCACTCTTGCTTCACTCCCCAGGCAAGGCGGGCTCGCCGGTGGGTTTCTGCTTCAGGTTTAGGATCTGAGATTCTCCAGCCCTTGCGTTGTAAAGGGACGTACAGCCAACTCACCAGTTCAATAATTTGGGGGCGGGATAAGGGGCGTGTCTGGTCGAGGAGGGGCGGGGCCCCGGCGGTGGCGCGAAATCGCGAATATGGCGCCGGAGCGGCTGCGGAGCCGCGCGGTCTCAGCTTTTAAGCTGCGCGGCTTGCTGCTGAGAGGGTGAGTCGTAAGGCAACCTGTCCCTCAGCAGTGCCCCGGGCGCCCAGAGACCTTTAGAATATTCTGTTATAAAAGGAGAGGTCGGTCTTGTGCATTTGAGGGTGCAGATCCTCCCCGGGCTTCCGCGACTCTCGCGTCCGGTGCAAATATTACTTCCAGGCTGGGCGGAGCTTGCGCTGCCGGTGTCCCAAAAGTGCCGGGGAAATGAGAGGCTTGAGGGCCTCAGACCAGCGGAGGACCGGGTCTCTGCTGGGTGCAAATCGTTTCAGTGTTACTTATGGAAGTTATAAGGAGACAGGTCAAAGCAGAGGCCTGGGTAACTCCGTCTGCACGTCTGTTGGCGATTTATGTTGCAGACTGTGAGCCTCCCACACATCTCGTTTTGGGATTCGCATTATTGCCTGGACGATTAAAAACTGGATAGATTTTAAAGGTGTTTTAGGTATCTTTTTATTTTTATTTTGTAGATTTCCTAGTTTACATCTTGCCCAAAAAGCAGTTTTCCTGGCTATAATGTGTCTTTTTAGTCCTGTAGAATGAACATCTCCAAGAACTCGCTTATTACATTGTCTTTGCATTTTATAATACAGTAAGCGTTTTAAGTACCTGCTGAGCTCAGTATACCTTTTTGAGTCAGCTTGAATGATCTTCTACATGCAATTTTTGTTTTGTTTTCGTAACCTTGAGCTTTATGGAACTTTTAAGTTTAAGTTTTGTCTATTAGTGTTCAAGGGTCAACCAACCTAGGTATATACTCTGGGAGAAAGTGATGGATTTAGGTGTTAGTCTCTGACATTTGCAAAGAAGAATAATTGATCAGTTAACTCATTTCTTTCACTAAAAACTATTATTAAACTGTCGGAAGCTCATTGATTCAGTGAGACGCATATTCACATCTCTTAGTTTCAAGGCACCATGCGTAGAATCAAACACCATAGAACTTTGCTGTGGGAAGATGGTGTTAGTTACCTGTTGCCGTGGAACAGATTACCCTGAGTTTAGAGACTAAAGCTACACACTCCTGTTTTAGCCAACATTTCCTGTGGGCCAGGAATCCAGAAGACTTGAGTTGGGGTTTCGGCTTTGGTCTCAAACACTCCAGTCAAGATGGGGTCATCCCGAATGTCCAGGGTGTCCTGCTCATTTTCTAAAAAGGCATTTTAGCATGATCTGCTTGCAGGGATTTGTTGTTATTTTAATTGTTTGCTCTTTTTGGGGGGTTGTTAGAGACAGGGTTTCTCTATTTTTGGAGCCTGTCCTAGAACTCGCTCTGTAAACCAGGTTCGCCTTGAACTTACAGAGATCTACCTGTCTCTGCCTCCCAAGTGCTGGAATTAAAGGCATGCACCACCACCATCACCTGGCTTTGTTTGCTTATTTTTGAAGTTTTAAATCTTGATAGTTCGGGCTTTAGAGAGAGAACTGAGTTTTCAGTTACGTTGGCATTTTATAAAGCTTGAATTTTATAAGATTTAAATAAAAGTTTGCATCTGCCACTACCACCAAACAAAACAGTTCTATTAGCCAGTGGTGGTGGCACATGCCTTTAATCCTTATACTTGGGAGGCAGAGGTGGGTGGATTTCTGTGAGTTCAAGACCAGCTCTGGTGTGCAGAGCAAGTTCCAGGACACCCAGGGCTACACAGAGAAACCCTGTCTCAAAAACAGCAACAATAAAAACAGTTTTATTAGCCAGGAATCAAAGGATATGGTTTTGTTCAGAAACTGTAGGCAAAATGAGGCCCACTTGAAGGGAGGAATGAATGAGAACTTTGTGAATGCCGAGAAATTCTTGGCCTCTTCTTTTCCTTCTTTCTCAGGGAAGCCACTAAGTATCTCACTGAAGCCCTTCAGTCTGTCACCGAGTTAGAGCTGGAAGAGACCCTAGAAAAGATCATCGATGCAGTTGAAAAGCAGCCCTGTAAGTCACATTTTCTGATGATGCTTACATTGCTGTAGCTTTGTGTCCTCAGGTCTAGATTTAAATGGAAATTGAGGCTCCGTTTATTAAGATATTCCAGAGTTCTGCAATACACACATCGCAGTATCTTTTCCCAAAGGATTTGTTCAGTTGTGACATCAGGATATTCTATTTCTTAAGGGGCCTTTTGTAGCTTCTAATCCCTTGGGGAGGTGAGATTACCATGGTCTCTTTTTCTATATTTAACTCTTAAATCTGATCTTGTCCTTTAAAGTAATTATATTATTACTATTATTTTGTGTGTGTGTGTGTGTGTGTGTACCAGTGTCATGGTATGTATGTGGAGGTCAGAGGACAACTTTGGAGTAGGTTCTCTCATTCTACCATGTGAGTCTGAGGATCAAACTCAGGCATCAGAGTTCTGTGCCAGGTGCCTTTGTCTACTGAACCATGTCGCTGACCCTGATCTGATCCTTAATGATCACTTACTTCTCTCTGCATACCTGTGACTGTCTTAAGTCAGATACTCCTAAATGTTTACGGGGGTGAGCGGGGGAGACAAAAGGCTTAACTTGCCTGGTGTGCTGGTTAAACACTTCATCTGCTGTTGCCGGCACCAGCCTGAAAAGAAGAAATGCTCCAGTGTTTCTACTGCCCACAGGACAGGAATTGTAGCTCCCTCCTCTCGTCTTTCTGCATCACATCTTCAAAGGCAGGATTTACGCACATTCTGTGTCTTAGTTAAGGTTTTTGTTGCTATGAAGACACCGTGTCCACAGCAACTCTTATGAGGAAAACATCTAACTGAGGGGGCTCACTTACAGTTTCAGAGGTTCAGTCCATTATCATCATGGCGAGGAGCATGGCATTGTGCAGGCAGACGTGGTGTTGGAAGTGTAGCTGAGAGTTCTACATCTTGCAGGCAACAGGAAGGCACCTGACCTACTGGGTGGTGTCCTGAGCATAGGGAACCTCAAAGCCCGCCCCCACAGTGACATAAGTTCCTCCAGCAAAGCTGCATCTCCTAATAGTGCCATCCCTATTTGGTTATGGGGCCAATTACATTCAAAATACTACACTCTTACTTTAGAAAACTCTTTTACAATAAAAAGTTTAGGAAAACATGATTATTAATCATTATATGTTAGTTTCTAATGGCATATGGTAATTTGCCTGAAAACAGGGTGATTAAGGGTGCCCACTTTCTGATCAGGCCTAAGTTTGTGTTGCTTTCGAAACTGTTTTAGCTGTGTGCTTGGATTGATACTCAAGGTTGCTCTACCGTCAATAAGAAATGGGTACAATGAGGGGTTTTGTGTGTGTGTATGTGTGTGTGTGTGAGCCTCAAAGGTGTTGTGATTACTGCTGTGTACTTATATATTCAGGATCTCGTGTAGCCCAGGCTGGCCTCAGATTCTCTATGTAGCCCAGGATGGCCTTGAACACCTGTTCCTCTTGTTTCCGGTTTCCAAGTGCTAACCTGTATGTTTTGTGACTTACGCCTTTACTAACCTTCTAGGTGGCTGCTGTCGTGCCTGAGTTTTCAGCCCTGTTCTAAACTGTGACTTTGAACTTGCCTTTTCAGTGTCTTCAGACATGATCGAGCGGTCCGTGGTGGAAGCGGCCGTCCAGGAGTGCCGGCAGTCGGTCGATGAGACTATGTATGTGGGTCAAATTGACTCCTTCCTGCGGGAGCGTTTCCAAGTGCTTATTTTCATGGGAAAACAATGGGTGGTCAATAGTTCTACATCAGAAGCCATCGTTATTTGTTTCACTTTAAGTGAGCCCACGTTATAAATTTGATTGCTAAATGATTTGTCTTTACTATTTTTTTTAGTGAGATTATAATATTTGTTTATTACTGACATGGTGTGTTCCCAATCTAGTTCATAGTCTGTGTGTTATGAATGAACTAAATTGAACATCAAAAGTAATTTACTGTTTGGTTTGTTTGAGATAGGTCTCATTATATAGCCTAGATTTTGCCTTCCTAGTGCAAGGATTATGGGGAGCATCATCATACCTGTAACCATCATATCTCTCGAAAGTAGTGGAATGGACAAGCTAAAAACTTTATCCTCTTATTTGTAACACTATAAAAAAATTGGTCATGGCTTGAAGAAAATGTGTAGAGTATTATATGCAAAAAATTTGAATTATTACTATGTATAATTCTTGTGTTTTAATAAGTTTGATCTGTGTTTTATGGATTGCTTTTCAGAGAGCATATTTTCAATATTATTGGAGCTTTTGATATTCCGCATTTTGTGTACAGTTCAGAAAGAAAAAAATTTCTCCCGTAAGTATACCCCATATCATTTGTTGATTTAATTTTTTTGAAGATTTATTTATTTTACATGCATGAGTATTTTGTCATGAGTATATGAGTGTGACCACATGTATGCCTGGTGCCATGAATCTGAAAAGGGGGCATTGAATCTCTTGGAGCTGGAGTTACAGTTTTTAGGTTCCATACGGGTACTGGGAATTGAACTTAGGACCTCTGCAAGAGCAACAAGTGCTCTTATCCACTGGGATATCTTTCTACTTGTTGATTAAGTGAATTTCAATTGTATAATTTTTCACAAAGTTTTATGTTTCACTTTTGATTGACCTTTGTGTTAATTTTTATAACTATATCATAGATGTATATATAGTATATATAGTATATATGCACATATTCACACACACATACTTAAATGATATTCCTTTTCTTCTAGTCTATCAATGACTAATCGTGCTGCACCAACCTTATTTGGAACAGCAAGAGATAAAGCCGAGCTGTATCGTGAACGATATACTATCTTACACCAGGTCAGTGGGAGTGGGGGAACACTAGTAAACTGGGGAGAAAAAAGAGCTTTGGGAAATCTCAGGGATATTTAAAGGATGCAATTTTGTAGATTAAAGTCGGTCATTCAAATCTGGGTTCCGTAATTCCAGTATTTAAGATTGCAGAGGCAGAAGGATTGCTGCAAGTTTGAGGTCAGCCTGGTGTACACAGTGATTTCCAGACCACTGGGACTTTATAGTAGGACCCTGTCCCAAAACAACAGAGAAGGTCACTCTGTAGACTGTTAATGGGCTCTGTGATTGACACCCCATGAGAACACAGAGATATGAAGTACATTTCCTTTTAGATATTAGGGAGTGGCCCACACTCAGTACCTGATATTGAGATGTCAGGCATTGTTTAGTGCTTTGCATGCATTTCTCCCTCATTTAGTCCACTAATGCAGATAGATTCTTGAATCCTAATGTTATTCCTGTTTTACAAATGAGGAAGCTGAAGGCTAGAGAGGTTTCATAACTTTGTCAAAGGGCACATGTAGAGAGCTGGGATAGGACTCAGACCCAGCCTGTCTAATTTGTCTAAAGCCCGCTATATTCCCTTCAAGAAAAGTAGAACTTTATTATATTCTATAAAAGATATATAGGGTATTCAGTAGAAGAACCAGGGAGGGCTTCATGGGCACTGTGGCATTTCATATCCTTGTGGACATGCGTGGTAGTGTAGTGAACAAGGACACAGCAAGGGAAAATGGACTTTGTGTAGGAAACGGTCAGCAAGCGAAAATAGTGTGGGAGTGTGATTTGCCTGCAGTCCCAGCGACATGGGGGACTGAAGCAGGAGGATTACAAGTTCAAAGTCTCCTTAAACTACAGAATGAGTTCAAGAGTAGCCTGGGCAGCTTGATGCTATGTCAAAATACAAAGCAAGAAAGCCTGTGGTGCAGGGCTCGCCTCGCATGTATGACAGCTCAGGGGTGCAGGGCTCGCCTCACATGTATGACAGCTCTCAGTGGTGCAGGGCTCGCCTCACATGTATGACCGCTCAGTAGTGTAGGACTCACCTAGCATGCCTAAGACCCTGGGTTCAAAACCAAGCACCACAAAAAGGATGAGCAAGGTTTCAAACCTCAGAGTGAAACAGGATACTGCTAATCTATTAACACAAGAAAGAGGTTGTCTGGGAATGATGGCGATTTCAAGCGTGGAGTGTAGAGTTCAAGTTGTCAGGAGCGGATATATAAATGCAGGTCAGGCGTGGGACAAGAGCTGAATTGCTGAGAAGGCTCAGGAGCATCTCCAATGAGTGAAGCACTGGGGTGTGAGGAAAAGACCCTGAGAGAAAGGGAGGTGAAAGAAGAAAGGTAAGAGGTATTGATTGGTCAGGGGCGCTAGGATGGTGTCGTGTGGCAGGCACAGGGTTTGTGGGGTGGAGTTATGGCAGGCATAGAAGGTGCAAGAATGAGGTGAAGAGGGGAGGTCTGAGGGTCCCTGTTCTCGAAGGCCTCCGTCACGCTCAGCCGTTGCGTCGTGGTTTTGCGAGGAAGTCTCTTGAGGACGGCTACTGTGGAACGGAATAGTTGCTCTGCTGGTTGAGATCTCCATTGCATGCTTTCGGCCTCGTCTGTTTTTCTGCCGCTTTGCTTCTGCTGTCGGCTGTGCTTCCCTCGTCTGAAGCCCGCTGTGAAATTCCCAGTTTTGCAAGGCCCCTCTCAAATCCCTCCATCATTTTGAAGCTTTTCTTTTTTATTCTTGTATAAAATATTGGGTTTAATTGTGACGTGTACTTAGGTCGTGTTTATCCTCCCGCCACTCTTCCTTGTCCTCTCCCTCACGATCCCTTGTCTACATTCATGTCTTTTATTATTATTATTATTATTATTATTAATTGCTATTATTATTTCATCTAGATTCTGCATGTGAGTAAACACAGTAATTCGTCCTTTTTGATCTGGTTTATTTAGCATGGACTGGTCTCCAGCTCTGTCCACTCTTCCTGAAAATGAGTGTTCTTTGTGGCTGAATAATATTCCATTGTGTGTGTGTGTGTGTGTGTGTGTGTGTGTGTGTGCTGACTTTGCTTCCTTCCGGTGAATACCAGGAGTCATGCAGCATGATCATATGAATGTGTGCGTGTGTGTGTGTATCAAACCCAGCACATATCAAGCCCAGCATGTTCTTATACTGAGCTACATCCCCAGCCTGTTCTAGTCTGCTTTTCGTCAAACCTCCACACTGAGTTCCACAGTTGCTGGATTGATCGGCACTCCTGCCCTCAGTGTATGAGGGTTGTCTTGTGCATCCCCCCCGCCACCTAGCATTATCAATAATTTGGTTGTTTTCTTGAGATTTTATGTGTATCGTGTTCCTTTCTGTGGGTGTCGACCACATGAATGCAGATGCTCTCAGAGGCCAGGAGACCTTGTTGGGGTCCCTGGAGCAGGTGTCAGGAAGCTGTGAGCCATCAGTGTGAGTGCTGGGAACTGAACTCAGGACCTCTGGAAGAGCAGGAAGTGCTCTTAACCATGAAGTCTTCTCGCCTTCCCTGTTGTTTTCTTGATGGCCAATCTGTCTGGGGTGAGATACAACCGTAGTGTAGTTTTTATTTACATTTCTTCTTTTGAGATTTTTATTTTTTGTTTTATGTGTATATTATGATGTTTGGGGGTATACATATGCATGACCCTTTTGTGAAGACATTGGACAACTCTTTGGAGCGGGTTTTCTACTTCCATCTTGAGCTGCAGGTGCCTCTACCCACCTAGCCATCTTACCAGCTCTTGACTTGCATTATTTTCATGGTTTAGGATGTTAGACTTCTTTTTACCCCCAAGGCAGGATTTCTTTGTGTAGCCTTGGCTGTATTAGAACTCGCTCTGTAGACCAGGCTGGCCTTGAACTCACAGAGATCTACCTGCCTCTGCCTTGCAAATGTTGGGATTAAAGGCGTGTGCCACCACTACCTGTCAGATGTTAGAAATTTTTAATTGTGATTTTTGTTTGTATTTTCTCTCTCTCTCTCTCTCTCTCTCTCTCTCTCTCTCTCTCTCTCTCTCTCTCGTACAATGCATGTGTGTGCACGAGTGGAGACCAGAGCTCAGATAGCCTTCTCTGTTGATTTCCGCCTTACTTTCTTTAGACCATTTTCTCTCTGAACCCAACACTCATGAACTTGTTAAACATGCTTTCTTTTTTCCATTTGATATTTTTTGCTTCTTTATCAAATATCAGGTGTTCGAAGATGTGTGGATTGATATCCGGGTCTTCTATTTGGTTCCATTGGTCCTCTTGTCTGTTCTTATACCAGTACCAGGGTGTTTTCAGTTCTTATAGCTTTATAGTAGAGTTCGAAGTCAGGGATTGTGATGCCTCCAGAAGTTCTTTTACTGCCCAGGATTGTTTTGGCTATCCTGGGTTTTTTGCTTTTCCCAATAAAGTTGAGTACCGTTCTTTCGAGGTCTTTGAAGAATTTTGCTGGGATTTTTCTGGGCATTGCGTTGAATCACACCAGCTTTTTAAGCGAATGCTGGGAACTGAACTCAGGTCCTCCTGACTGCACCTGTACTCACTTTACTGACTGAGCCATCTCCACAGCCCCTGGGATATATTGAGCCAGTTCTGCCTCTGTAGCTTAGACTGACCAGGGACTCACTACATAGCTCAGACTTCCCTCAAACTCTTCATCCTCCTGCTTCAGCTTCCCAAGTGCCAAAATTGCAGGTATGAGCCATATTGGTCATTTGTGTTTCTTCTTTTCAGAAATATTTGTCCATTTATTGACTGAATTATTTGTTCTTTTTGAGCTTCTTATAAATTCCTGTTACTAATCCCTTGTTAAATAAACAGCTGGCAAATGTTTTCTCCCATTCTGTGGACTGTCTCTTCATTCTGGTCATTACTTCCTTTGTTGTCTCAAAGCTTCTGCGTGTGTGTGTGTGTGTGTGTGCCCGTGTGTATATGTGTTGTTTACATGGATGGGCATGCGTAGGGTGTGTACCTGTGCTCTTAAGTGCAGAACACAGAGGAAAACACTCAGTGTCCTCTCCCACTCTGTCTTCTCTGTCACGTTGTCTCTCCCTGAACCTGGAGCTTGCTGCTTTTCAGCTGGGGCGGTGGCCAGCACGTTCCAGTGATGGCCTGGCTGCATTCTCTTCAGTTCCCCAGCACTGGGCTCAGAAGTGTGCACAGCCACACCGAGATTTTCAGGTGGGAACCAGGGATCTGAACTCAGGTCCCCTTGCGTCTGTAGCTGCTTCCTCGCTGAGCCATCTCCCAAGCCCCCACCAAAACCTTTTCTTTTGATGCAGTCCTGTTTCTTAGATCTGGTTATTATGACCTGAGCTCTTGGTGTCTATTCGGGAGTTGTTCCCTCTGTGTACGTCTAGAAGCATTTTTTCTGTTCCCCCGTAGTAGTTGCAAAGGTTCGGTTCTTAGATTAAGGTCTGTGATCCATTGTGGGCTGACTTTTGCACAGGACGAGAGAGACGAATTGGTTTCATTCTCTGTGGATACCCGGTTCCCCAGCACCATTTGTCTGAGGGGCTTCACTTCTTCAAGGTCTATTTCTGGCACCTTTTAACAATTAGATGTTTGTAGCTGAGTGGGTTTGTTTCCGGGTCCCGGATTCTGTTGCGTTGATTGGCATATCTGTTTTGTCCCAGTGCCATGCAGGTTTTGTTACTGTAGCTCTGTAGCATAGCTGGAACTTGGTTATTGTGATACCTTCAGTTTTGTTCTTGCTCAGGATTGTATTCACTATTCAGAGATTTTGTGCTTTTATAAGAATTATAGATTTTATTTTTCTGTCTCTATGCAGATTACTATTGGAATTTTGATGGGGATTATATTGAATCTATTGGTTGTTTTGGTAATATAGCCATTTTCACAGTATTAATTCTGCCAGCCCTTGTACATGAAACGTCTCGCCATTTGAAGCCTTTCTCGGTATTCAGTTGGGTGCAGTCTGTTCCTTATTCACGCCTACTGAGTGCCATGTCTTCTGTGCAACCTACTCGAGTTGGCCTTGCCTTGCATTCATTCTGCCTCATCCCTCTTTCTGTACCGCAACAGGATCCTTGTTTTTTGTTTTTTTAAACTCTGCAACATTTGCTATAGTGCTTTTTACTGGAATGTTAGCAACTGTCAATCTCTCTCTCTCTCTCTCTCTCTCTCTCTCTCTCTCTCTCTTGTTTGTGTGTCTGAGATACGCTTTTGCTTTGTAAGTAAGGTTGGCCTCAAGTTCACTGTGTAGCCTTGGTTGACGTCAAACTGACTCAAGGTCTTTTTTTTTTTTTTTTCCTAACTCAAGATCAGGGTCCTGAGTATTGATGTCAGAGGCCTGCATGGCCATTCCCGGGTCCTCTCATGTATTCATCTACAGTGTGTCTCTTGGCTCTTCCTTTTGTGATCCTCAGTTGTGAAGTAGAGGGAGGAACTGAGCCCATTCACCTTTTCATTGTATTTATGTCCCGGGAAATAAACTTGATTTTGATTTTGTCATTGTTTTGTTTTAGTATTTTTCAGAGAGGGTCTCCTGTTTCTCAGACTAGCCCCAAACTCACTATGTAGGGTGACCTTGAACTTTTGATTTTCCTGCTTCTGCTTCAAGTCCACTGTGATCAACTTTCTGCGATGCTAGGGATGAACCCAGAGCTGTGTGCGTGCTAAGGGAGCACTGTGCCGGCTGGAGCCACGCCCCCGACTCTTCCGTAAACTGTCATTTAAGACTGGTGACTAAAACCAAAGAAGGACCATATTAGTTTGGCCTGTACTACCAGGAAGACTAGAGGTCTGTGGTTGCGCGCCTGGCTGGATCCGGGTGTTCATCCAACAGCACAAGGCAGCTGTCTTTTTTGTATCTCAACTTTTTTTTTTTTTTCTAATTTTCCTTTTGTTAGACTTTGTCACCACCTGTGCTGGGGACAAAGATGGATGCCATGTTGACCCTGGTGTGTTGCCAGGTTTAGGTCCTAGTACATCCTTTTTGCAAAAAAGATTATCCTTTCAAATAAATTCTCCTTACTTAATAACAGAATTGGCCACTAGTAGCCATAGCAACCGTCAGGAAGAGCCTTCTTTTCCTGTAGTCCTGGGCAGAAGTCTTGAATGTCTCTTGCCAGCCCAGCTCACTGCACTTGCTCCTCCTGTCCTCAGTCCCTGTCTCTGCTTCCATATTTATGCCTAGGCTGTCTCAGGTGGGGAAAGGGGTGGCAGCCCGCTCAGAGCGCGAGTGGATGGGCGTGGAGGGACAGTTCCCTAAACAGTTCTGTGCCTCATCTGAGAGTCCACCTGTGCACGCTCACGCTGCTGTGCCCCATCTAACAGCCCACCCTGTGCACACTCACTGCTGTGCCTTCACTAACAACCCACCTGTGCACACTCACACTAAGTTCTGTCTAGGGTGGTCGTTAGTTCTGATAAGACTTGCTGCTTCCGTGGTGCCTTGACGGTAGACCAGTGGTTAATTTTGTTTGTAAGCCTGACTGGATCAACAAATGCTTACGAATACAGCCAGTAATGTTTGTGAGGGCGGCTCCAGGGACGATAAGGGAATTATCCTCCCACCCACTCCAGTGTGAGCTGTGCCATCCACCGGTCTAAAAACAAAGGAAAACAAGGAAGCAAGCCAAGCAGCTGAGCCTGGTATTTCCCCTGCACCTCTTCATGGTTGGTATGGACTCTGGTTCTCAACCGTGAGCCAAGTAGAGCCCTTCCCCCTTAAGCTTCTTTTTACTGGACATTGGGTTGCAGCAGTGGATGAGAGAATTAACTAATACAGAGCTTCCCGTAACCTTCTTCCTTTGGATACCCCAATTTCTTATCCTGAAGCGTCTTGGCTCAGCCTCTTTTTATTCCTTCCATGTTCTCTCAGTTGTGTCTTGGGTCTCTTTGGCCTGGTGTACAGCCAGCCCTTATAGTACTGTGTTGTACGGTGGTGTCGTAGTCAAGGTTTCCATTGGTGTGAAGAGACACCGCGACCACGGAAAACATTTCATTGTGGTGGCTTGCTTACAGTTCAGAGGTTCAGTCCATAATGGTCATGACGGGAAGCAAGGCAGCATGCAGGCAGACGTGGTGCTGGAGAGGTAGTTGAGATCTTGACTCACAGGCAACAGGAAGTGGTTCGAGACACTGGGCATGACTTGAGCATCTATGAGACCTCCAAGCCCATCTCCACATACCGACTCCAGCAAAACCACGCCTCCTAATAGTGCCATTCTCTTTGGGGGCCATTTTCTTTCAACCGCAGGTGACTTTTCTCTTTCTTGCTAGCTTCCAAGTTCAGGTTATTAAATACTTTTTGTTTTAGAAGCTGCTGTAGGGGTTGGGGATTTAGCTCAGCGGTAGAGTTGGCTCGCTGGTGCAAACCCAGGGGTTTGCAGTGGGGGAATTGCTAGGTATTTGCCTTAGGGACAGTGTTTTGTCTTCAGTGTTTTAATAGCTCTTTTAAATGTTTAGTTCAGTAATTCATAAGGATTTCTCTTTTTTTTACAGAGGACGCACAGACATGAATTATTTACTCCTCCGGTGATAGGCTCACACTCCGAGGAAAGCGGGAGCAAATTCCAGGTTTGAGCATTGTCTTAATTATTTAGGGGCTGTATATATTAATACAAGTGCAATATTTATTGCTACATTTTTGTACACTTCTTCCTGTGTGTGCTCGTGTGTATGTGGAAGTCAGAGCAACTTGCAGGAGTTGGTTTTTTATTCCACCACGTGTAACCTAGCATGGAACTCAGGTCATTAGGCTTGGCGCCAGGTGCTTTTCACTAGTCAGCCGTATTTTTTAATTTTTGCTTGAGACAAGGTCTCACTATATACCCTGGCTGGCCTGGCACTTGCTGTGTAGACAGGCTGGCCCCAGACCCACATACCTCTGCCGCCCAATGCACCCAAAGGCATGCACCACCATGCCTGGTTAATTCATTGAATTTTAAATGAAAATAAAGCCGTGTACCTGTTAAACTGGCGTAGGCCTGGCTACACAACTGTTGCTGGTAAGCGCCGTGCCCAGTACTGTGTGTTCTGTAGTTCTTTAGTAGAAGTTACTTCGTCTTTGGAGCAGGCCTGGTACCGGGGAAGCATCCCCATAGTCTCCAGCCCCCAAACCAGTGCCAGTCCTGCTGAGCCCTGCGCTGGCCTCCTGACCACCTTTTTGTTACCTTTTGTGTTCTCACTCAAAACACGGATTGTGGCACAACCTTCTGTTGGTCACCAGACCTGTGAGACTAAAATGTGCCGTATCCATTGTAAGGAAAACTTAGTGTATCAAAGGGCATGGGTCTCGGTACCCGCCCCCCGGGTGTGCTGAAGAAGCCGTGAAGGATGAGTGAGAACACAGATGGCCCTACAGGGGTAACCTGAGTGGAGGAGAGCTGACCTGTGTGCACCTTCCGCTGTTGTAGTTCAGAAGATGATTCCAGACGGCTCAGTCCTTTTCGTTCAGCAGCAGGCATCGCCTGGCCACTGTTTGTCTGTGGCTGTCTCTTCCTCTCCAGTGCTCAGAACCCTGCTTAGAAGTCCTTGCTTCTTCTGTCTGGGCCTTGCCAGCGTCCTGAGGGTCTGGTGGATTTTGAAGAAGTCCAGCCTCTCCAGTGTTCCCTAGGTTCTCTGCCTTGGTAGATCAGTTCTCATGCTGAGGACTCTGCCAGAGGCTGAAACAGTAGCTCCGAATGACGTTAAAGTCATGTTTGAGAGTGTGGTCGTCGGGCCTGTGATCCTAGCACTTGGAGGCAGGAGAGTGAGAAATTCAAGCTCAACCTCAGCTTGGTTGTGAGTTCGAAGCCGACTTGGACTGCGTGAGACTCTGCTTCAAAAGACCAAAAGCAACGTTCAGAGATGGCACACACCGAGAAGCCACTAATCGTATTTGACAGTCTCTGCACTTGACTGTATCACACTGTAATTTGTGTCGTTTCCAAAATTGACATGACTCACATTTCCCTACCAAAGTCTGTGTCACGTGTGTTAGGTTTCTGATGTCAGCTTGTGTGTCCACAGCCCAGAAGCAATGCCTTCTCTCCTCTCTTTGTCAGAACACTTTTGACGCTTGTGGCTACATAATATATTGTTCTTTTCAATCTTCCTGTTTAGTTCTGTGTTTGTGACGGTTTGTTTCCTATTTAAGCAACACTTGAGAACAAGCAGAACCCCAAGTAGGCTATTTATAGAATCTGAGCGGAAAATTCCTTTTATCAGCTACAAAATTAGCGTGTTTCATGCATATTTGGAGAGCTGGGGGAGGAGCTGAGTGATCCGGCACTTGCCTAGCATATCTAAAGCCCTGGGTTTGATTCTAAAAACAACAGTGTTTGTCATGCCTTTGTCCTGTGTTGCTTCATGTTGATGTTTTGAAATGGCATTCCAAACATCTACCATCAACCAAACCCAGGTAACTATTCCTGACTGCTGAGCAATCTCTCTAGTTCCCCAGATTCATTAAGTTTTAAGTCATATTCCTCAAACAAATGAAAGTGGGCCGGGCACGATGGACCTGCCCTCCTGCCTCTCAAAGAGCGGAGGTGGAAGAGTAGAGAGTTGCCTAGCTTTAGCAACATAGCCAAGACCCTGCCTTGAAAAGTAGAAACAGGGCTGGCAAGACGGCTCGGGTGTAGAGGCGTTTGTCACCACTTTGCCCACCACAGTTCAACCCGTAGGACCTCCATGGCAGAAGGGCAGGCTCCCTTACAGTATCCTCTAACTTCCACAAGCACACCACGCCACATTTCCTCTCTCCAGTACACAAACGTATATAAGTGTAAAAAAATAATTGAAAACCATATAAATAAGTCTGTCAGGATGACTGGGCAGGTGAAGTCCTTGCTGTCAAGCCTGATGACCTGAACTTGATGCCTTCTGGTAAGCGAGAGAATGTTCTCCCTCAAGTTGTTCTCTGACCTCCACAGACTCCATGTGGATGCGTGCCCCTTGCCCCAGTATGAAAATAATATGTCATATGCTTATGATTCCTGCCCTTGGGAGGCTATGCTATACAAGGAGTATCGGACCAGCTAGGCCTATACAACAACAAAACAAGTCAGGTGGGTGGCACACGCCTTTAATACTAGTACTCAGAAGGCTGAGGCAGGCAGATCTCTGAGTCTGAGGCCAGCTTGGTCTCCAGAATGAGCTCCAGTACAGCCAGGACTACAGAGAGAAACAAACCCTTTCTTGAAAAACCAAACCAGACCAAAACAAACAACAAAAATACAATTTTTGGGGGGACGGAGGTTTTGAGACAGGGTTTCTCTGTAGCTTTGGAACCTGTCCTGGAGCTAGCTCTTGTAGACTAGGCTGGCCTCGAACTCACAGAGATCCACCTGCCTCTGCCTCCCGAAAAACACAGATATTTGCTGTCTACAATGGTATGTCATGAAGCTTTAGCCACTGATAACCATCTGAATGAATTATATTTCTCCTATTTAGTGTGTGTTGTTTTGTTTTAAGATTGTGTATTTGGGACTGGAGAGATGGCTCAGAGGTTCAGAGCAGGGGTGGCTCTTCCAGAGGTCCTGAGTTCAATTCCCAGTAGCCGTATGGTAGCTCACAACCACCTGCGATGAGATCTGGCGCCCTCTTCTGGGCTGCAGGGACACATGCAGGCAGACCACTGTACACATAATAAACAAACAAAACGAGGTTTAAAAAAATAAATCAAATATTGTGTGTTTGTAGCTGAACTGGTGCCGGATTCACTGTGAGGTCCAGGCTGGCCTCAGACACATCTTTCCTCCTTAGGCATGGACCCACGCTTGACATCTTTGGTTATATTTTTGGTCATTAACACATTTGACGTTTTAGCTCTTTGTGGGACGAAACTTGCAGATTAATTTTCCTACTGTAAAGCAGCTGTATGTAGTAACCTTTACTCAGCATTTGCTTGTCTATAAGAGAATGAGACCATGCTTTTCATCATTCAGGATTTATTCTCTTTTCTTTTAGCTTAAAACAATAGAAACTTTACTGGGCAGTACAAGCAAAGTCGGAGACGTGATTGTCCTTGGAATGATAACCCAGCTGAAAGAGGTAAGTTAAGACTGATTGCTCCATTTTACTTTTAGACTTGAGTTGGCCGTGCATTTTCATAAAAGCGTAGGAACACAGTTTCCACAGAAGCACAGAAGTGTACCTTCTCACCTGTGTCCGCTCCTGCGACGTTGGTGGGACAGACTGACCAGGTGTTCAATTTGCATAGCCTCCGGGTAGACCTAAGTGACCCCTGCTTGAACTGGCTCTGGGTTTCTGAATGAGCCAGCTGCTGACCACATCCTGGTGCCCTGGAGGTGCTGGTCATTCTCTTAGCTGAAGGCATCTGGGGAGGCCGAACCGCAACCAGACAGGGAGTTCCTTGTCAGCCTGTGGTCTCGGTTTTATGCCTACAGATCCATTTCTCTCTCTCTCTCTCTCTCTCTCTCTCTCTCTCTCTCTCTCTCTCTC